GCCCGCTATCCATATGCCACTCGATATGGCAATGGAACAGCCAAGCCCCAGGATTGTCGGCACGGAACCTCAGTACTATGTTGCCATTGGGATTAGCAAGGACTGTATCCCGTCTCATGGGTACTCGGGGTAAGTCGGTCATTTGTTCCGCGGTGTATGGTCCTTTTTCTTCTTCGGAGCGATAGACCAACTGGAAGTTATGTCCGTGGAGATGGAACGGATGCTTCCCCGGATCATTGTTGTTAAGAATGATCTCCACCACTTCATTGTGCTCTAGAACGAAGGGGTTCGTGTTTTCACCATAGATCACTGGGTTCATGGCCACGTCCCTCGGAGCATCAAGAGCAGTATATAATGTCGGCACCTTTGGGCTAACGTAGGTGATGTTGTTGAACCAAGCACTATCGAAGCCGTGTAAGTGCATGCCGAAGCTTCTACAAAGTAAGAGATGTTACAATAAACTTACTAGTTTGCTCCATCCCCCAAATTATCCATCTTCAGGTCAAGGGTGATGCTGTGATCAACATGATCAAACAGTTCTATTGAGTCACTAGGCTTCAGAAGGAAATCATCCAGAGGTTCGAATTCATCGATAGTTTTAGGCTCTGGAAGTGGCTTTTTATCGTCGTACACGAGCCATGAAGTCACGTTTGGATTTAGATCAGGAGGAATCTGGTCAAAGAGGTCCTATATATATGCCGTTAACTAACCGTTTCACCGAAGGAATGGGAGAAATAACTATCCAGAAATACTCACAGTATCCATGCTACCGACCATGGCAAAATTGTCTGTTGTCTCGTTCTTTGTGGTCACAAGAATTCCATATCTCTGGGCAGCAGTAAGATAGAGCATGTCCGTTTCATGTTCCTCAGTCCAAACTCCGTCAACCTCAATAACACGCATCGAATGGCCCTCGATCCACAGATAATGCGCAGCCAGCGCCGCCACATTGATGGCCCGGATGAAATATGTCGTATTTGGCTTCACGGCAATAGTCAAGTTTTGCGTATCAGCCATCAACGCGGACTGAGGCACTGGCTCTGCACCCGTGGGATTGGCAAAGCTGATAAAATGCTTGATTAACGTTGGCATTTGCTCGTGGTACCAGTCCGAAAGGGTGAGGACAATCTCTTCATCCCATTTTCCAGCATGCGGAGACTCTGGATCATCAATTATCAGGGGGCCTCGTAACCCATCTGGATATTGCCCATGACCATGGGAATGGTACCAATATGTACCTGGCTGCTCCGTCTATATCTAGAGTTAGAGTAGGGCCCAACTAAGTAAGGAGAGAAGGGCATACCGTGAAATTATAGGTGAAGGAGCCGCCGGGGGGTATCCTGCATTGATTAACGCCTACGGCGCCGTCCATTTCCCCAGTCCCGTTCATGAACAGCCCGTGGAAATGAAGGGAAGTGGACTGGTTCCCCAGCTGGTTGTTGGCATTAATAATAACCCGATCACCAACCTTGGATCTGATTTCTGGAAGCGGCCATTGCCCATTGATTCCAATTGTTGGCCGGTCACATTGGCCATCTGGATTTGTTGACACCCAGGTAATATTAAAGTCATATGTGATTGTGGCAGCATGTGCAAAGCATGAAAGCAGCGAAGCACATAGGCTGAGGTAGTACCACGCTAAAGGGGCCATAATATGATCGACAGTGTACTCCTTTGGCAAGATGAGGTTTGATGGTATCTAGAGCATGCCTTTGGGAGCTGGTTTAGTGGGCGATCTGACGTGGAAAAGGTATTGCCAGGCGGGACAGGATGAATACGGGGGGTCGAGGCAATAAAACATAAACCTCCCTGGAGAAGAGTAGGGTATTTCCAGGATAAAAACGAATGTGTGATGGCAAGGTGACCACCAAAAAAAAAAAGAAAGAAAGAAAGAAAGAAATTATACAACCGAAATAGATCTGATAAGATGGAATGGCACCTTGTTAACTAATCTTATCAATCGCCGAGGTGGGTGCCACAACGACCTTCCTCGGAAATGCCTCCTCCTGTCGACAGCCTGTACCTTGGGTGGTTATCGTGTAAATATGGCAAATCCGAACGGCACAGCTGGCTGTCGGCTCGCGATATGAGTCGGATGCAACTTTCTTAGTTGATCAGCGAGCCTTCCATTGGTCTGGTGTTTGGTCTGGCTGAGGGTGCCGCATTCCGTCCAGCTGCATCATGCCACAATTTAAGTTCTCGCTTCAGCGCAAAACTTTGCTCGAAAAGGGGGCCTTTTTTATTAGGCTTTGTCTTCAGATTTCAGATTTCAGAGTAGTAGAAGACAAAAGAGTAATTGGAACCCATCAGTCCCCTTGGACCGACGTTGACCCCACTCCCAGAAGCAAACCAGAACGTCCTTATCGTAGGAGTAGTTATATAACTGTTCCCTGGAAACAGGGGGGCTGCCACTACTGAGTGGGCCGGGGAAACCCAGCTGAGGCTTGATAAAGCTTCTCGCCAGGCCGACGTCTCGTGCTCTTCGGGGCAAGGATGGCAAAGGTGAATGCGTTTGTTGGTCCACCATTTAAACAAGCGCATGGAAGTCCACTGAAAGCAACATATAATACTCCGTACTCAGGTAGCAAAGCTGGCAGCGAAGGGCGTCAAAATGCGATAAGGTACTCCGTATTAAGCGTGGCACTAGGTAGTATATGTCGAGCTTCCTGCATGGACAGCTCCTCCATGGACAGACGGCTCTCTCTCTGGACGCCCCGCAGATAGACTTCTGTGACACTAAAACTTACCTTGTTAGCCGGGCTTTCCCTGGTTTGGAAAATACAGAAATTCTCTGCTGCTTGCCGTTTTGTCCCGAGATCGCAAACTAAAAAAGTGTTGGCCATCGTTGGCCATCGTTGGCCATCAGATAGTTAGCCATCGCTTAAACTTTCTTTATCTGATCCGCTGGAGCCCAAAATGGGAGCCAGAACGAAAGATCCTGTTGTCTTATCTGATGAAGCCGCCGCCCTATCTCCGGCCTTCATCTTCCTGCGTCGTATATGAAGAGGGGGGAGAGGCTCTTTTTAAGTCCAGGTCAACGAGCCATCCGCCGGTACTCCGTATAACTTCACACTCTGGTGTCTGCGAGGGTTTGGCTGCACAATCGAGTCGCAATGGTGAACGTATTTTATGTTCCAGGTAGGCCTCCCCTCTAATTTCCTGTATCAAGGTCCCGATCTTACCAGCTAACGAGCCGTTCGGGAAAAGTGTTCTTCATCGTGTTTCGAGAGACACTGGAAACAAGCATTATTATTTCCATTTTGCTCTCCTTTCTCAAGAACCAGCTTGGCCCTCAATACGATGTCCAAGTCTACAAAAAGCTGAGGAAGCAGGTCAGTGTCAATACTCGAAATGTGCCATGTAACATGAGTAACTCATATATACCCCCCCGATTCTAGGTCTGGCTAGGGACTCTCTTGGGCCTAGTAATCTGCATTATCATCGGATGCGCTCTGATCGGCGTATTCTACTCCCTAGGCAAGAATGAATGGGAAAAGGCAGAAGTCCTCTGGGAAGGTATTTTTGCCTTGATTGCGTCTATAATCATCACTTTGATGGGGGCCGCCTTGCTTCGTGTTTCAAAGCTCCAGGCAAAGTGGCGCGTCACGTTAGCAAAGGCTTTGGAATCCAAGGAAGATGATAGTCGACGGAAAACACTCTGGGGAAGGTTCAAGATGTGGTGCGAAAAATACGCCATGTTCATGCTGCCTTTCATCACCGTGCTGCGTGAAGGCCTAGAAGCGGTGATATTCATCGGAGGTGTCAGTTTGGGCGCTACAGCGTCCGCAATCCCAATACCCACCGTTGCCGGACTGATTGCAGGTGCTGCGGTTGGATACATGATCTACAAGTACGTTTGTGAGATGGTCCGTTGCCTCTGAGTTGAACTTGTGTGTGCTAATTTATCCTTTCAGAGGAGGAAACTTTGTGCCCATCCAGGTATTCCTCATTGTGTCGACCTGTTTTTTGTACCTAGTTGCAGGAGGACTGTTCTCTCGAAGTGTGGGATTCTTCGAACAGTATAAGGTAAGACGCTAATGCAGACCATCTCCTAGGACCTCAGTAGCAAATGCTAATTCAACCAGTGGAATATGGTAGTAGGAGGCGATGCGGCCGAAACAGGAGTAGGTGCCGGGTCGTACGACATTCGATCCAGCGTTTGGCATGTCAATGTATGTTCGCAACTCCTCCAAGACAAGGTTTCTTTGATAATGGCATTGACGGCTAATTTGAGTATCTGATCTGTAGTGCTGCAGCCCCCAGTTGAATGGGGGTGGTGGCTGGGGTATCTTCAATGCTCTTCTCGGATGGACAAATTCTGCATCCTTGGGTACAGTATTGTCGTATAACTTCTACTGGATTGCAGTTATCATTGGATTCCTTTCCATGATCTATTATGAGAAGAGAGGCAGGTGGCCGTTTCAGAAAGGCAGCCCAAAGCGCGACCTCTCTATCTCCGACCGTTCGAGCGCCGAGCATCCTCCTGTAGGGAAGGGCCCGTAAATCTTTCTGCAGGATGCCAAATCTGTGTGACTAGAAAAGAGCCGGAAGCAATGAGATGGTTAATTGTTGGATGTTTCCGCTGATGTTTTGGCATTATTCTTTCCGGTGCCTTCTAGTCGTCATTCAATCTTGTTGATCTGATAAGATTAAAACAAAGTCTATTAGTAATCAATATTAAACCTTATTTTGCTTCTCCTTCTCTCGTCGTATTGGAAGAGAAGAAACAGACAAAAGGACAAAGCAAGAGTAAGGAAAAGGGGAGACAATATACCAAATTTCAATGCTGCTCCTTATTAGCCTATCACGGTTTATATGAACGTTTTCTATACCTAATATACCCGTTATAATACACTTAAAGCTTTCTCCACATCGCTGCCCCATTCCTGCTTTTATGACCTTTCCGGGCCTTCTTGTCATCAAAGATCTAACTCTGCTCAGGAGTCTAGAATCTAGCTATATATACAGGTGATGAAGCCTATGATTGTGGACTGCCCATAATGATTGAAGAAGCTTTCCCACCTTTACCATCTCCTGCTGCGACAGCTCAAGAAACGGACAGAGCCGGTACCATGTTTTCCCCGCTGGCTGACGTTCCTGTCGCTGCAGCACCACCAGTCATTACTATCCATAAGGGCGGAGATCTGGTTATTATCTGTGAAACTGCGCCTTATAATTCATTACCTGAGAAAACAAGGCATATGTTTCGACTCTCTAGCCTGGAAATCACGAGAGCTAGCGAATATTTCAAGGCCCTGCTAGACCCAGCCAAATTCCAGGAAGGCCGATCGCTTCTGCAGAGCTATGAACAAATGGAGACCCAATACGGGTCAAGGGAGTTGGCTTTAAAGAACATGAAAGTAGGCGAGCTGCTCCATATCAAAATCGAGCTCCCCCCACTGTCGACCAAAATCAACCTACGGGAGACTTTGGCATTGTATTTTGAACTCCTATGCCTCCACCTGCCGTTCAACCCAGACCCAATGGGCTCAAGGAGTTCACCGTTAACACTATTTCTACACTGGCTAGTGTGCTCGTTCTTTCGGATAGGTTTCTCTCAAATGATACCATAAGATGTGCTTTCAGGTTTGTTTCACGGGAACATGTAGGACCATTCAGCTATTCAAGCATCATAGCCAGACTACAGCGTTGTGAAAGTGGAGATGAAGAATGCATTAGACAGGGAATCTTCTCAGCACATTTCCTTAACGAGCTATTAGCCTTCTCCAGACTGACGCAGTCGCTAATTCTTCAGGGTTCCGTGAACTGGATGGCAGAAAAGCCTGGTGGCACGTCTGGACTTGACAAACCACTATGGTGGCACTTGCCAGGAGGCATAGAAGGTAAGGCATATCGACACCATCCTTTTTCTTTCCTTTATCTGCTGATAGTGGCTAATACCTTCATTCTTAGAAGAACTCCAATTTCGGCATGACACTATAATCGACACCATCAGTGAGATACAGAATCATTTTCTTGTCGCCTATGGAGCAGTTAATCCATATCAGGCACTACAATATTCTTCTCTCTTTGATCAGCCGAAGAGACAATTACAGTGCCGCCGTGCGTTGGAAAACTCTGAAGCATGCGATTCTTTCCAATTGGGCGAGATGATCCGTTATTTTACCAGCCAGTCCAAAACACTCTTCCTGGAATCCGGGTTATACTCGGAGTCAGGTATAGGAAACCGTGAAGATGCACATGAAGGCTCCCAGGCTTCACACTTTGCCCGAGAATACGGGAAGAAGAACCCAGATAATTCCACTGGTAAAAACCAGGCAGCAACGAACGCAGCCGAAATGGCTAACATTAATACCATACTTTCCTACCTGAGGTGCTACCCGGAGCGTCAAATGGATTCTTACCACATAGGATGTGGACTTCGCCGCCGGCTTCTTCCTCTTCTGGATTATATCGGTAAATTATGTATCATGGGCAAACCATCCAAGACACCACGCTTTGGGCAAATTGGCCTATGCAAAAATCACAACCTTTTTGATAATGGTGGCCCCGATTCATGGAGCAACAACCAGACCCGGGAAGGGATGTCTGTTGTTGCAAGCGCTCACTCACCGGTTTCCGTTAAATATCACGGTATAAACGCATCAGTTGCCTTTAGAAAGCGCTTTAAGTCTCGACCGACCGTTTTATGCAACTGTGAACGGTTCACATTGGAGGCAAGGGGTTTCTTTACAGCCAAGAATCGGCGCTGGGAATGCTAGATTGGAAATATCATGGCTACTCTTGGTGTAACCTCCTATAGACTGAATACACAAGTCTTGCAGTACTCTTTGCCATATTGTTCAACTGCAACTGTTTGACAAGACCTGGCCTGTATGTTTTTTCTAGGATGATAATGTAAAAGACATAAATAATTGTGCATATCAGATAACATTACTCCAAGCTACTCAAGCAAATGTACGTAACAAGCTCGATAGTAGAATGGAAGGTGCGTGGGAATGGGGGCATTTTATAGTAAACCAGAACACTCAACCAAATCTCATTCACTCAATGGTATAGCCGTCGGCAACGCACTTGACATCCTGAGTGAAGCCCACTGATTCGCCCTCCATATCTAATAACGATACAGAAAGAACGTCTACATCTGCAAATGGCGTTGACTTGGTAAACCGGACATTCATAGGGAAGAACTCGTTCTCGTCACTCTCGGGATCAGACGATTCGAACTCAAAACTGCCAGAGGAATTAGATGTATCGACGTATCCAATGTTCCAGTCCAGGGTGTCGCCTGTTACTTCGTAATTGGAGTCAAAGCTGGTGATAGTTGGCTCTACTGTCTGGAACGGAATGGTGACGGCGACATCTCGCAAGCTATCCGAGCCAGTGAGCTCGTACTCCACTGTAACAGTAGTCGAATCAGAACCCTTATTAACCCACACGGTAAAAGTGATGGGTAGTAGGTCCGTCTCTCCACTGCTTGCAATACGCCACCGAAGTACACCGATTGCGTTGTTCGCCGGGAACCTCTTAGACGTGTCTTTTAGCTGAATAACCTTTTGGTTTGAGAAGAGTGCTTTATCAACATTTGGGTGAGTGCGGTACTGGGCGCCGTGCGTTGCATTTGCAGTCAAGTCAAGTTTGGCCTTGGTGAAAGAAGTATCAGAAATGCGCAATTGAAGGTCACCCTTGACCTCGAATGATTTCAAGGCGCCATCTCGAGATAGTTTGGCGGACATGGTCTCGGCAACGGTTATGTGGATTGGATCACGCTCTGCGGATAACGATGCTCTTGCGGACGGAGCTTCTGCGGCAGCAGCAGCGGGGCTTGGTGCAACGAGGGGTGCATCCTCAGCTTCGGGTCCAAGTTCACCTCGTACTTTCTCGTAGATATCGGTGGTCTTAGACTTCTTTCCGAGTTGCATTCCTTTGCCTCTACTGACAAGGGGCCTATTGACAAGTAACATTAGTGTTAATTGTATGTATCTTTCTGCATTACAAGGCGGAAGGGAGGTTGTACTTGGAGAAAGTCTTCTTTTTCTCGGCTTCGTATGAGTCCATTGCATCCGGAACGCTCGATCGGACAGGCGGGGTGTATGTAGGGTAGGATGGAGTTCGCGGAGCCATAGCTCTCCCGCTTCGGGCGGCTTCCTTGCGCTGCATCTCGAGTTGTTTCGCCTTGCGTTTTCGTTCCTCAGTTGCCTCCAATTCTTTGTTCTATGCAACTTATTAGCAACCACGTCACCTATAAAATAGTCTTATCTTGAATGAGACAATATCGGTCTGCCTTACCCTGTCAATTATTTCCTGGACTCGTTCCTCGTGACTCTCCATCTCGAGGAAAGTTTTAATCTGTGACAAAGACAGGTTCTCTCGGTATCCCAGAGTAACAATTTCGTCAAACGCACTCAGAAGCTCAAACGCGCTGCGGACGATCTCCCTCTCATCCAAGCTTTTGCAAATGCTAGACACGACCTGGGCAAATATATGTAGACTGTCGATGTCCTGAAGGATGTTGGACTGGCGATTTGTGATGAGGAAGATGTACAGCTCGTCGAGAGGCTGATAAACAAATCGGACATTATCCTGCTCAACGATCGTGTGCTGTGTGCCCGAATCTGCCAGCTTAGGGAACGAGGCCAGCAATGCCTCTATTCTCGTGCGCGGCATCTCTCGAAACTGCCGTGAGAGGACAGCCTTGCCTCCCCTCGTACATATCGAAGCCGCTAGGACAACCTAGGATGCTGTGTCAGTACTTGCGTAGTGGGTATGAGGGGACGACGGATATAGGAGCCGAATCGCCTACCATTGCGTCTACCAGTCACACCCGGGAGTAATTTCTATTAGAGGCCAAGCTATTCCTTGGGCAAATTCGCCGTTAACTTCACGAAGTTACTCCTTGCGGATGCCGTCGTTCTGGTTGTGGTTGTTGTCTTCGGCTTCGTCTGTCTTCGTTGTGATGCTCAAACTTGTCCTTTAGAGAGGATGATGTGGCCCGTGCACGGCGTCGCTTATTGTGGCAAAAGGGGAAATTATATTTCTTCAGCTTTTTTTTTCGTAACATCAAACAACAGGCTGACGACGACTTGATATCCCCGACAGAGACGAGAGTCGCGGTATATTCATCGCTACTTGTTCTTTACAGTTCATTTTTTTGATGGTAAAAATATACGATATTTCTGGATACTGTGTTTCAAGCCTCTGCGATGGTGTAAAGTACTGTGGTTTGAGCTGTTTCATGAGATAGAGACAACCCGATCGACTCGCACATTCTCGCGATGGAGGCGATTATACTCGACGAAAGTATGGAACTGGCGCCTGATACCGCCAGATACTTTGATCCCCACGATGATATCGAGATAGACCTGGATGAGGTGGGCGCTCCGAACCACGACAACGACGTGATTGTTGACGATGCCTCCATGGCTGGGTCAGATCAGGCAGAGATCATGGGAGGGACTCACGAACCCGTGAAGGACGCAGACATGGTGGACGATAGCCACGGAACTCAACACGTCGAAGATAGTCACAAACAAGCCGAAGAGGATTATCAGTTTGTCGACGATGCACTAGATATCGACAATCAGTCCTACGAGATGGAGGATGATTATGAAGAGGATATAGATGCCCCGATCCCAGGCACGGGCGTGATGGAACCTGATTTGCCCGGTAACGGTGCCCCTTCGGCTGAAATGGCAGAAGGCGGTTATAATGGCCTGGAGGATGAGCCCACAGGGCCGGTTGAACCAAGTGTTCATCCCGAAGTGACTGAACAGAATATGTCATTAGTGCCCAAGGAAGGGAGTGAAAATTCTGGTATACTTCCAGCAGAGGAGCAGGAACAGGTCCACGAGGTAAACCTTGGTGCCGGTGAACCGGACCAGGTTAACCTTACTTCCGATGAGCAGCCCCAAAATGCGGAACATCTCGAGGCTGAAGAGCCAGTCTCTGGGGTAAAGTCTCCAGTTAAAGAAATAGCACCGGAGACTCTGGATGAGGGCAGTAACCGCGTAGCAGAGGAGGCCGCTGTTCCAAGAAAGAGTGAAACTGGCGCCCAAGAAAGTGAGGCTTCTATATTACACAACGTTCAAGTCTTGTATCAAGACAGCGAAATCTCCCTATTCCCTCCTAAAGAAGATGACCTATCAGAAACATATTTCCTCGAGGATGAAGCTTTGGCAGATGAGCCTATTGGAGATTTGCTTAACGCCTGTCGGGTAGTCTTGGGAGACCATATGGGAACGGAAGAAGAGCTCTACATGGAGATAGAGTGCCTTGGGCTCCATCTAACAGAGGTACGGAATATTGTCAAGAATAATATGTATTTGGTAAAATACTAATACTCTTTTTAGGCTGTCCATCCTCCCATATCATTGTCACAGATAGTTCAAGTATACCTTGACCTTTGCCGGAATGATGGAGATACTAACCCTGGCCCTCTTTACATAACTCTTGCTACGCAACCGTCCTTTACGCAGAACTTCAATACTCTTTCGGAAGCAGCTCAGTCTGGCAAAGGGCTCTCATATGTTGGTAAATGGGACGAGTACGAGGATCAAATAGTCTCTGAAGAGCATGAGAACACAGAAAGTCAGAACGCAGAAGAACCAGAAGACACAGAGAATGGCGAAAAAGACGAAGAAACTGAAGCTTCAGCACATGAACCATCAACTCCCAAGAGCCAACCAGAAGTCAATCATGAAGAGGACAACAAAGAGGGGAATTATGTGAATGAAGGTATTGAAATTAATGCAAATGAAACAGAATATCAGGAAGCCCAACCGGTCCCTGCTGAAGCTGCTATAGAAGCTGAGGTCTCTGATGCCGAAGCCAATCAGACAGAGCAAGAAGACGCTACCCATGAATCATTTCCTCCCGATGATGCTGCCCAACAGGAGGTAACTGGGCAGAATTTACCCGTCGAAAAAGTCGAAGAACCAAGCTTTGAAAACACGCAAGAAAACGCTCAATCCCCAATTCCCGACAATGAAGGTGGAGAATCTTCAGTACCTCATATTTCTCAAGATACTAACACTGAGCCCGCCCATGAAAGTGTCACAGATGCCCACGAAGATTTCATTGAGATCGACCTAGAAGCATTTGATGAAGAATCACATAAAGATGATGATGACCATGTGGATGGTGGCTCTAGCCATCCTTCTCATGAACAGGCTGCCGAACCTAGCACTCCAGAACCAAGTTATAACCCACTCGAGGTTGATGAAGATATTTTCAAAAGTCCCACTGCTGCTGAAGTGGAGTTACCTAATGAATCTTCCGAAGATCACAAAACTGATCGGCTAGACGAGGTTGCCTATCCAACTGAAACGTATGATGAGAACCAGATAGAAACTATTCTACGTGAAGGCCGGAACAATGATGAAGACACAACTTCTGCGATTCCTGTAGAAGAAGGCCAAGCCCAGGACTTTAACGCAATAGAAGTTGTAGACTCTGCAACTGGAGAGACTCTATCGAATCCCAGCGCCGAGTCCAAGGAGCCAGAGGTGAACGTTGAAGGTGTCACATTTCCTGGTTCGGCAGAGATGGAAGCTGACTGGCACCACGACGCTCCCGAGAACCGAGATCTGGTTGACCCTGAAGAGGAACCCTACCAGACAGAGTTGCTGGATGGAGAATACCTGGAAGCCCGCAATGTGGCAGAAAATGCAGAAGTGGCAGCGTCAAACCCAGAGCCTGAATCCAACGGAACAGCTCAAAACGGCGCAGATTTCCAGGAGCAGAGTCCAAAGGCTGGCAAGAGGCCTCGTGTGGATGATGAGCCTACCAGCATGCCAAACACAGTACCAGTGATAAAGAAACCTCGCTCCGAATGAGGCGGTCACCCTATTTTTCCTGGTCTAGCTATTATTTTTACCTTTCGTCTTATCAACCCTTGCGGTCAGCGATGTAGTCTTCCTTAACTAACCTTGTACGATCACACATCCGCCTAGAATGGTGGTACTAACGCATACAGGGCCAGCAAACCTCAACTACCATCGAGACACTTTTATCTGAATGGCAACAACACTTAAGGTACGTAATTTTCCCAGATACTAACTATAGCTTCCCCTGTTTTACACGCAGGCCATTCTCAAGTGTCGTACTGGGCAACTGGGATGACCCAAATGGCTGGATGCTACCTTTACAGACCGACCATTACCTGCCTACATTGACATAGTCATCTTAATGCTGGATGTTGGCCCAAGGAAGAGTATCCGGAACAAAGAGCTCGATACCGCCTGGTACCTTTTGTTGGGGATAGTTCTCGCTCATGCTTGCATGGTCCTTGGTATATATCCATCTGCCTCCTGGCTTACTGACTGGTAACCGTTGATTTCATCTACACCTAGCCACAATGGTCCTTTCCCCCTTGCGGCTTCTTTTTTGCCTTCTTTCTTTCTCAGCCCTATGCCTTGTCTTTTTATATCCTCGCACTGACCTTACTTGTGGCTTGAAAATGGCGTTCTGCACGGATGCGAAAGGGGGGTTTATATCATACCTTAAATCTTTGGAAGCTTTTTATTCTTTTCTTCTTCCTTTTCTCTGCCGGCCATCTGGAACTAGATCTTCCTGTCCTCCTTATGCTCGTCGCTTTCCCTGTTCCCCTCTTGCGTTCCTCCTGCTGGTCTCTGTATGATAGCTGTCTGGTTTACTATTTAATTATATTCATCATTTTTTTTTTTATTCCACTTCCCACCCATTGCCCTGTGGATTTATCAGGCCCCCCCTTGCCGTATATCTTACAATCTTAATCATATAGATATATATTAATTATGTCCGGAGTACTTACTACCACCCGCCCCCAACCATCCTGGTGCGTGTCTCATCTCCGATCTCTTTACCCCTGAAACATCCCCCGATGTGCCCTGCCCATGATATTGAGCCTCCAGCAGCAGCCTTTACTTCCGCACCACTACCGGCACCTGTGCTCAGCAGGGCTCTCCTCGCCTCCTACCAGGCCTTCTTCCCCTGCTCCCTGCCACCTCGAGCTGCCGCCGTCTTCCTTTCTTTCGCCGTGCCTGACGATCACAGGCCTTTGGGGGAGGAGGAACGCGCAAAGTAGGCCTGCTTATCTAAGCAGCTCACCTGCTTCCCATGAAACAACCAAAAAGAAACCAACGAGACCAGAAAAGCTGGCCTGAAGTTCAACCTCAACCGCAAGCCTTCGCCTCTCTTCGCACCTGGAAAGGAACCCGGAGTTCGCTCGAGCAGGCCGAACAGTCAAGACCCTCGCCGCGTCTCCTCGTCTGGCGCCGTCCTTCTTCGCTCTCTGCCCGTCATCCGCTGCCTTTCTATGGCCATCCTCCACCTCGGTCTCCACGGACCACGGCTTACGATCTCGCTGCATCACGATCGGATCTGACCTGCTAGAGAGCTGTCTGGCCGTCTCTGCGACGTGTCTGCTCGTCTGTTCGCTTGCTCTGCTTTGGCTTGACTAGTTAGCTTGCCTGTTTTCCTTTCCTACCTTGCGTCGCTCGTTTACTTTTTTTTTTTTATTGCCGCCACGCTGGTCCTGTCCCCGTCGACTCGCCACGGGATAAACGCAAAAGCCTCCCCTGTACCTGCGCCCGAAAGTTGCTGGCCCGATTTTCGACCTGGAGGAGGGATAATATTAATATTGACGGGGTGATTGCGCTACTTTGGCGGTGCGGTTGAACGACCACCTGGCTATTGCGCAGTACCGTGACGAGGAGACGGGATTACTGTTGAATAGAAGATAATACACCGGCAACATGGTTTCGGACAAGTATGGCGAGCACTTACAGACGGATGGAGAGGCTGCGGAGTGGGGAGAAGCGTTGTGCTAATGGTTGGCATTAGGTATATCGGGCTATGCCTCGCCATCGTGTCGACAATGGCCATTGGTGAGCCGCAGCCAAATAAATCAATCCTCTTTGCAATGTTGATCTAGTTCTAACTGTATTCTTTGGCTAGGCACAAGTTTTGTTATTACTAAAAAGGTCGGTATTAATAAAACGACCTCCTGTCATTTGTTCCCAGTGCTTACCATAGTATTCAGGGTTTAATACAAGCATCGGAACGACATGGCTTCGAAGGAGATGGATTCTCATACTTGAAGAGTCCCCTGTGGTGGGGAGGAATAGTTACATGTTCGTCCTCCTGTTTATGCCTCTATTTATACGCCAGAGTCTGTACTGAATTTAGCCCTTGCAGTGGTTCTCGGAGAGGTTGCGAATTTCGCAGCATATGCCTTCGCTCCCGCGATCTTAGTGACTCCTCTCGGCGCTCTAAGTGTTCTAATAGGGTCAGTTATCTCGGCATTACCTCTATTTGTGCACTTATCCCACCGGCTAACATTCGAGCTAGGGCTGTTCTGGGAGCATACTTCCTAAATGAGCGGCTTGGGGTCTCAGGAAAGCTTGGATGTGCACTTTCACTCCTCGGCTCAGTTATCATTGTCCTTCATGCGCCTCCGGACCAAGAAATCGGAACTATAGATGAGATTTTGCATTATGCGCTTCAGCCAGGTATTTTGAACTACTGACTAGTGCCGCCAGGTTTGCGCATTGCTGACTCCGGCCAATATAGGATTCCTTCTCTACTGTACTTTTGTCGCAATTTTCTCTACCGTGATGATATATCGAGTTTCACCGAAATATGGGAAGAAAAACCCTCTAGTCTACATCTCCATCTGCTCCACTGTTGGTTCGGTCTCGGTCATGTCGGTCAAAGCATTCGGAATTGCCGTGAAACTCACCCTGGACGGACATAACCAGTTTACACACCCGTCGACCTACGTTTTTGCTATTGTGGTTGTCTGCTGTATATTGACGCAGATGAACTACTTTAACAAAGCTTTGAGCCAGTTCTCTACTTCCATGTTTGTTCTTCTCATATCTACAGTGTCCCATGCGATTCGAGCTGTCAATACTGACTTAGCAATGCGGTAGTGTAAATCCCCTGTACTATGTCAGCTTTACCACAGCCACTCTATGCGCATCCTTTGTCCTTTTTCGCGGATTTAATACTACAGACAAAGTCGCCACGATATCTCTCCTCTGCGGCTTCCTCGTCATCTTCTCCGGTGTTTATCTGCTCAACCTCTCCCGGACTGATCCCGATGGCCGTGCTACGGGCCGACCAGGCGATGAGGATGCGGTTCCAACTGATGGAATCGCAGGTATACAGACCCGTCGATCACTACAGGCACGAAGAAGTATTGATCCGCATCGCCGTAGCTCTTCGAGCATCGCGTACTTCAACGGCCCTAGTGATAGGGAAGGGCTTATGCGGTCCTACGACCTCGAGAGCGGTGCAGCCTTTGGTCTAGAGGATCTCACCGAAGAGCCCGACGATGCCAATGACAACCACAGCCCACGTCAGACAAACGGCACTACAGAGCATCACCCAGACGACCCAATTCCCAATGCGAACGGTACAAAGCCGTGAGAAAGGGGCTCCCTTTTGCTCGTCTTCCTTTTTGTTGCCCTTTTTCTTTCTCTTTCTCTCTTCCCTGGGCTCCTGATATATCTCCTTATATTTACATACCTCCCAGCACTGGATCGATGCATTACAAATGACAACTTCTGGCGCCATCCTCTTCCCACGATTAACGGGTATTATAATAAGAAAACACTTAAAAAAAATAAGAAAAGAAAAGAAAAAGAAAAAGAAAAAGAAAAAGAAAAAGAACAAACATGAAACCGACCACGAAAACAACCAGCAAGACGGGAGATAGTAATGATCCTTTCCCTTGTCTTTTTATTCCCTTCCTGTTTTCCTTCCGTCTCCTCTTCTTTATATTTTTGGCCTTTTGGATACTCCTGATTTTGATTTTTATCCGCGGATAAGTAAAGACTTTACGCCTGTCCATGTATTATTGGGAATTGGTACTCTTGGGAGGTGTTCATATACACGAAGGCCTTTCTCCGGGTCTTCATCTTCTTTTCCTCCTTTTCGGGGCCCCTCTGGCCGGATCTATTTCTTCCTTCTTTCTTGCATGTAGACCTGGCGTTTCGGAGTAGGATGTGTATGCTCAAGGGGAATCGATCTATCCTGCCTGTCTTGTCTGTTATTGTACGCCTTCTGCTCTGTCTATCTCCCTTCCTCGTCGACTGTCATGATCTTATATCAAACTCTTGATTATTACTTCTATCGTCTAAGTGCTGAGGCTTCACCCCTATTTCTTCCGACTCTTATCTACATCTGATAAGTGGACGACGGGATAACTAGGGTCAGGTGACTGGATGCGCCGGCGATTCGATGAGCTTTCTTCAACGTCGCCAGCTTTTCGACCCATCGAGGGCCCGCTTCTTCTTCTTCTTCTTCTTCTTCTTCTTCTCGCTCAGGATGGACGCTGTCTCTCTGGCGGTGCCTTCGCGATTGTCTCGAGCGCACGCCAGACCTGACAGACAAGATGCCTGGCCTGGCGAGAAAGCTGCTCATCATTGCGGCCGTGGACGGCTTGATCCTCCAGCCGTACCATAACAACACCCGCTCGTCCGCCAATCTAGTACAGGTTGACTACAAGACACACCACATCCACTCGCCGGCGAGGGTCTCAAACTACCAGTACAAGAATGACGCCTGCCTGGAGTCGCATGGCTTGATTGGTTAGTTCGTCTTTATCTCCTCGGGAGTTGCATGCACGAGTTAACCAGTTGGCTGCTATAGGATTACTTTCCGTGGCATCGTACTCGTTCCTAATATCAATTACCCAGCGCCAGCAGGTGGCGCATATTCTGGGGAAACCGATCTTTGTGATAACTGGGGTTTCTATTATCCCTTTATCGGGCCAGGCTGAAGCTTCTAAAGCAATAAGGCAGGCACAGCGAGCGTTGGAGAATAGCCCGGACGCCTACGAGCTATCAGATAGCGAGTCAGATAATTCCGAAGACTTCCTGGCTGATGAACACAATAACTTCGATGCTATATCCCCGGAAGGTGACCTATACCCGCCAGTTGATGAGCCTAGCAACGAAATCAGTATTGCGGAAGATGTTATCAAAAAGCGAGGGCGGTATGGCAGATTTACAGCGGAGTGGTTTGCAAGAAAAGGATGGGGAAGTATCGGGTTGCCAGATTCCAGGAGACGGTCTCTTATTTCATCCAGCGATGGTTCTGTCCACGCTGAATCCATGGAGCTAAAGAACCTAGGAGCTGATGCTCTTGATGGGCTGGAATCCAAGGAGACCAGCGAAAACACCGCCGTGACAGACGCCAGAACCCATGACTTGTTGCCGAAGCTGTTAAAGTACACTAAAATGATGTTCGGATCCCGGAGCTTCTACTTTTCATATGACTATGATATTACTAGACGGTTTGGTCCGGTAGATCCAGCTTCAACACATGTTCCTCTATGTCACCAGGCCAACCCATTGGTAATACATTTCTCCCTGTTTTCTTCACCTCTGCTGCAATTATGTGCAGGCTAACAAGCCTGAATTTCAACAGTACTTTTGGAATAGACACTTGATGAAACCTTTCATGGATAGTGGGAGGCACACATTTACCCTCCCAATAATGCAGGGTTTTATCGGACAGCATGAATTTACTGCCGAAAGCGTTATGCGATCCAGCCCCGAAGGTGATAGTCAAGTTAAGTATCCTGAAGAAAGTGATGAGAATACCGGAAAGGCGAGTGAGGATGCTTCGGTTGATGGTAATCGAAACTTTCTTCTTACCCTAATATCTCGCCGCTCTGTGCTACGTTCAGGGGTTCGTTATCTTCGCCGCGGTGTTGATGATGATGGCAATACTGCAAACTCCGTAGAGACGGAACAAATATTGTCAAGTCCTTCATGGAACCCAGCAGAGAAGGTGTACTCTCTCCTTCAGCTACGAGGATCTATACCTCTCTACTTTTCCCAGTCTCCTTATTATTTCAAACCAGTCCCAATCATGCATCACTCAGCTCAGACTAATCTAGTGTCTTTTACAAAGCACTTCCATGATGTCCAGAGGCGATATGGTAAAGTCCATGCTGTCTGTCTGGTAGATAAACATGGCGTGGAAGTGAATATTGCAGAGACATACGGACGTTACCTAGAAAGTTTTAACAAGGCTGAGACGTCTGAAGATAAGAAAGTCCCATACCAGTGGTTTGATTTCCATGCGGAATGCCGAGGAATGAAGTTTGAGAATGTCAGCCGCTTGGTGGACAGGATGTCAGAGACTCTGGTAGATTTTGGTGACACTGTCGTCCAGAACAATGCTGTTGTTCGCAGCCAGTCTGGTGTCATAAGAACCAACTGCATGGACTGCTTGGACCGCACCGGGGTCTCGCAGTGTGCCTTTGGACAGTGGGCCTTGGAGAAGCAACTCAAAGAAGAAGGCCATTATATTGATCTTCAAGGGAGTGCTGCCACCCAGTGGTTTAACATCCTCTGGGCAGATAATGGAGACGCTATCTCAAAGCAATACTCGTCTACTGCTGCACTGAAGGGAGACTATACCAGAACTCGGAAACGTGATTACCGCGGTGCTCTGAATGATTTGGGTCTGACATTGACGCGGTACTATACCAACATTTTCACAGACTACTTTTCCCAGGCCTGTATCGACTATCTCCTTGGCAACGTGACCACTCGGGTCTTTGACGAATTTGAAACAAACCTCCAAAGCGCAGACCCTGGGATATCCATGGAGAAAGCCCGCCAGAGTGCAATCGAAACCAGTTGCCAGATCGTCATCAGCGACGAGAACGAGGAGTTTATCGGTGGTTGGACGATGCTAAGCCCTCGCCAGCCAAATACCCTGAGAACTCTACCGTTTGAACAGACCGTTCTCCTGCTTACCAATGTAGCCGTATACTCATGCCGGTTTGACTGCAACACGGAAAAGGTCACATCATTTGAGCGTATCGACCTGACATCGATCACTGGCATCAAGTACGGAACGTACATCAGCTCTACATTGACCGATGCCCAGAGGGACGAGAAGAGGAATATGGGCCTGGCAATTGCCTACCGTCCCGGCACCAGCAACTCTCTACGAGTCAACACAACCTCCCTGCACAGCCTTTTTGCTGAGAAGCCAGATCCCGCCCCCGAAAACCAGGATATAATCGACTGGGACCTATCGACTCTCTTCAAGGGCTCAGACCGATCCTCAACCCACTTCCTCGCGTTCAAATTGCCGAACACCTCTTCAGCGGTAGCCAGGGCCCCCAAGACTCCCGAGGTCAGCGAGGCTGACGCAGTGCGCGCCATCTGCGAGGAGATCGAACGCATGGTGAACCGGGCCACCCAATCTCCATCCATCCACGCCGAGAGGCCGTCCATCGTCGAGCAGACTCAGATCATCTCATTGGAGAATGCTCGGAGACAGACCGGATACTTTGAGCACCTGTTTTTCGATATAAAGAAGCTCGTCTGGGCTTGATTATATACTGATTCGCGTTGCCTCCGAATTTCTTCACTTGCGTCCCTTCTTCTCACCTAATTGCACACCCCGCTCGTCAGCCTCACCCCGCTCATATATACATAATCAGTTTAATGCATCTATAATATTTAGCCTTGAGCGTCAAAATATATCAGATATTCCACCCTTCCGAGATATCAAAATAATAATAATAATAATAATAATAATAACACTCGGCCTTTCCTTCCTTGGGAGGCGGGGACTTTTCTGCCGCTTCCCCCCGCCTTTCCCCTTTCGTCGTCTTTTTTTTCTGCCCGAAAAAAAATTATTAAAAAAATAAAATAATAAAAAATATAATAAAAATAAACGTCTGAGTAAATATAAATATACAGAAAACCCACAGGAACAAGAATGAGATGAGAGGAAGAGCAGAAATGGACCAAGAAGCTTGCTTGAAAACACTGCCCCAGCTCAAGTAAACTCCCTGCGAGGGCTAACTAGGGATCCCAGGTGAGGTCTTGGCGCGTTGTGTGGTTCTTCTGGCCGCAAGAACGCTTTTTATTGCTCGTATACCTTTGTACCTGAAACTAACTGTCTCCTTTGACAGACCTGTTGGTTACCGCTGCCCGCTGTCTTCGAGTGATTGAGACGAGGAAGATATATTCTCGCCTGGTGCTGGTCTCCCTTTTCCTTCTCGCAAGCGTTCTCGACGTTGCCTCTCATCCATCTGTCGGCGGGGGGTTGGTCCCTTTATTTGCATATCACTACTTACCCTCTCGGGCCCGACCTCTCTACTATTTGGCTCTCTTACATCTCGAAGGCTCCCATCTTCTGCGCTGAGACCCAACATAACTAATTCACGATGGCGTGGCAAGCGGAGGAGAGCACACTGGCGCAGCTGGCGGGGTATCTCAACGACACGTTGAATGCGCGAGATCAAGCAGTGCGCAAAAATGCAGAGCAGGTGAGACATCCAGCTTTATATTGGGTCTGATTATAGGCATTTTTGAAATGATAATGGCAATTCTAACGGCGCTGGCAATACAGATGCTCACGCAAGCTACATCTTCTCCTGACTTTGTCAATTACCTATCATTCCTACTGCGAACTCCCCAACCTCCTGCTGCCGTTGGCTTTGATATTAAGGGATACAATGTCGTTCGAGTAGCTGCTGCTATGAACCTAAAGACAAAGATAAAAGTGGCCTACCAGTCGATACCTCCAGAGGCTTTGGCGTACTTACAAGCAGCAAGCTTGGTAGCTCTGGGTGATGAATCTACCCATGTTGCGAACTCCGCAGGTACAATCATGGCAGAAATGATCAAACAGGGTGGGATATTAGGATGGCCAACCTTGCTTGAGGAGTTGGTGTCATTAGTAGGGAATGCCTCTGCTTCAGTTCCAAGCCGTACTCAAGAGGCTGCAATGACTGCCTTGCAGAGAATATGTGAGGACAATCATCGACTTCTACAAAAGGAGATCCAGGGACAGCAACCAATCCATGCCATTTTGCCTAAAATAATGGAGTTCACCGCAAGCTCTGTACCAAAAGTCAGGACCATGGCCTTGTCGACAGTTCATATGTTCATCGCTCACAAATCTCCCGCCCTCATGCAATCCCTGGATACTTTCCTTCAGTGCCTTTTTAAGGTAGCCGAAGATCCTAATACTGATGTTAGGAGAGCCGTTTGCCAGGCCTTTAACCAATTAGCAGAAGTTGCCCCTGAAAAATTGATCCCCTATATTGACGGCCTGGTCAACTATGTATTGATGCAGGAACATAGCCAGGAAGACCCAGAACTGGTGTTGGATGCTTCAGAATTCTGGATAGTTGCCGGAGAAGAGAAACAGTTGAGGTCGGCGTTGACTCCATACCTACCAAAGATTATTCCCGTCTTGCTGCAAAATATGGTTTATGACGAAGAAGAGGCCGCTCTGATTGCAGGAAAGGCAGATGACGCTGATGAACAGGACAGACCCGAAGATCTAAAACCTCAATTTGCAAAAACAAAGTCTGACCGATTGGCTAGTGCAAAAGAAAGCGAGGATACCTCCAACGGTGAAAAGAAACCAGCACCTGAATCTGAAGATTCTGATGATGATGATCTAAGTGATGGAGAGATCGAGGATGATCCCGAGGAAGAGTGGACAATAAGAAAAAGCTCTGCCACAGCTCTGGATATTTTCGCAACTGTATACCATCAGCCTGTGTTTGAAATTGTTCTCCCCTATCTTCGAGAGCACTTGAAGAACCCTAGCTGGGCCCATCGCGAAGCCTCAGTACTGGCGCTCGGTGCCATTGCTGATGGTTGTATGCTAACAGTTCAACCTCACCTACCGGAACTCATTCCCTACCTAGTATCACTCCTGACGGATCCAGAGCCAATCGTTAGAATGATCACCTGTTGGTGTCTGGGTAGATACTCCGGGTGGGCTGCACACCTTGAGCCCGCTGAGAAAGCCCGTTTCTTTGAGCCGATGATGGAAGGAATGCTCCACCGTATGTTGGATAACAACAAAAAGGTCCAAGAGGCTGCTGCATCTGGTTTCAGAAGTTTGGAAGAGAAGTCTGGGCCGCATATCATTCCATACTGCGAACCAATTCTTCGCCAGTTTGTGCTTTGTTTCGACAAGTACAAGGACCGAAACCTGGACGTTCTCTATGACTGTGTACAGACTCTTGCCGAGTGTACAATGTCTGAACTAGCAAAACCTGCACTTGTATCTATCCTTATGCCTTGTCTCATTGGAAGATGGAACAAAGCCGCAGATGAATCTCGAGAGATATTCCCGCTCTTGGAGTGCCTTGGCTACATAGCTAGCGCTTATGGGCATGCCTTTACACCTTTTGCACCACCAATATTCAGCAGATGCACCAAGTTGATATATAACACCATTATGGAGTGCAATGCCTTGGCTAATGGCCAGACAACCGAGGAGCCCAACAAAGATTACTTCATTACTTGCCTGGATCTCATCTCTGCTATTATACAAGCTATTGACCGCCAGAAGAGTGAGGAACTTGTGGCAAGCACGCAGCCATCCTTCTTCCAACTTCTTGCCTACTGCCTTCAAGACCCATACTACGACGTAGGTATGTCAGCGTATGCGGTCCTCGGTGACTGTGCAATGGTCCTCTTTGAACAGCTACAGCCATTCTTACCCACCATAATGCCGACACTTCTAAAACAGCTTGATCTGGATCAATTGGCGGACGAGGACTCATCAACCGGGTTAAGTGTGGTGAACAATGCCTGCTGGGCGTGTGGGGAGATATCCATAAATGCAAAATCTGACATGGCCCCTTACGCAGAGAACCTTTATACCTTACTATACGCCATTATGATCAACGAAGAGATTCGCGATTCCGTCACCGAGAATGCTGCTATTGCTTTGGGACGCCTTGGCATAGGGTGTGCTGAGCAATTAGCTCCACGTCTGGCACAGTATGCATACACTTTCCTGATGATCATGTCAAACGTGGAATTTTCGCGAGAGAAGGTGGGCGCCTTTGCGGGATTTAATCAAGTCCTTAAGCAAAACCCGCAAGCACTGGAATCCTGCCTGCCGGATTATTTCAGTGCTGTTGCATCAATGACAGATAAACCCTTCCACGCCCCCGAATTTGATGATTTAGACCAGTCTACCAGACAGGTACGTATATGATCATCCCTTTGCTTTGGGAACGCTTGATGTCCCACCAGGAACGATAGAACTAACACGTATCTTATAGGTTCTTCAGGGCTACAAAGAGTTGATCCCTGACTTTGCAGCTTTCATGGGAACACTGGATCCAAATGTGGCCTGGAGACTTCAGACAGCCTACCAAATATAATTCAGGCTATCCAGCCATCCACTCTATCTCTCTATTAACTATCTTTTGCATATCCTTACGGCCAATCATGTTATAGGTTATATATCTGTTTTCCCCTTACATCCCCAAAACTATTTCACCCCTCCCTTATCCTCTATCGGCCCTTTTCCCCTTTATCCATCAAACCGCCTCATGACTCCCCTAGTTCTCCTCCCATTGATATCCCTTTATCCTTAAAAATGTAGTATCTGAGCCGTCGGCACATAAACCCTTTCTTTCATTGGCTGGGGCGTCAAAAGAAGATGACGGGAAAACCAAGGATAGTAATTTTATGCCCTTTCCTTCAAGTCAAAAGAAGTAAATAAATAAAATGAATGAATGAATACATAAAATAACACAAATTATTCGATTGATCCCGGTGGGGGTTGGAGATACGGAATCTATTTGTTAGTGTTCTTGGAAGAATATACACCTCCTGTTGACAAGAAAACGGTGGAACTGGTCTTTCCATTGACATCAGTTACAGGTGAGAGGCATTAAGTACCTTGTGTGCTCCCATTTTTGCAAAACAAACATTTATCTGGTGGCCTAAATTCTATCACCAAAAATTTGTTGGGTTCCTGTGATTCATCTCCAGCTCGATCCCGCGTACGGAGTACTGAGAGTACGTATACGCTGAACATCTTAATCTATCTTAGAAGAATCCTAGCACGAGTTCTCACTATCTGCTAGTTCTTGAGTTTATTGTGACGTTTTAATGCTTCTCGAACCCCCTGTTCTCAACACAGTTATCACCCGTGATCGGCCGTTTACAAGCCCTTTTAACTACTGACTAGTTAAGGCGGCCTGATCTCCGTGTGCCCGAAATGCACTGATTATGCCGTTTTTACAAGAAATCTCCGATATGTTTTCCCAAGTACATATGCATGCCCCATAATATCCCTCCCGTCCAGCGTGCCATTTGAAAAGGTCGCATCTGTTGAGATTCAGTGTCTATGTATCATTGCCATCAAGGAACCAACACTTCACCAAACAGGAATGGCTCCCGGACACGGAATGTTCGTTGGGCACGAACAGCATTCTGCTCGGTCTTCTAAGAATATTCGGGGTATATTTCTTTCCTTGTATTGGCTTCAACAGCATAGATTTCGCAATGATGCATCTGAACGTAACATTCAGGGTAACGTGATATTAGAAAATTGAGTGT